AGCCAGTAAGCAGCATTCCTCTATTGTCTCTGCTCTCACTCCTGCCTCCAGTTGCTACATCAAGATCCTGTCTTTAATTCCCACATGATGGACTGTAACCTTAAGTCAAGTAAGCCTTTTCCTCCCCAAGTTGCTTGTGGCAATGATGTTTATCACAGCAACAGAAAACATACTAGAACAAAACTTTGGTAAAGATTTGTTATGGTTGTTCCTACTAATATTATATGGCATTTAATAAAAAAGGGGATGTGGCAAGCATGTCATTTACTTACTGAACTATACTTTGGGACAGTGGTGGACCTATGTATTTTATTTACAAATTGAAAATAATGACCAAACTCTTCCAACTCCTTTTGCCAGCTGCTATTTTAGGTTCTCTTATATGAAGTTGTTTTATTGAAAGAACCATCTTAGGGCTTGAGAGATAGTTCAGTTGATAAAGTGCCTTCTGTGTAAGCCTAAGGGCCGGATTCCCACCCTTGGAACCCACATGAGAAGCCTCTTTTAATCACAGAGCTAGAAAGGTGGAGACAGGAGGATCCCTAGAGATTAACAGCATCCTGTGTCAAAAGCACAAGGTGAGTGACACCTGAGCAACAGCACCCAAAGTTGACCTCTTGCCTTCATATGCACATGCATACATGCACACACATACACGCCCAAAAAATCATTTCATGTTCTAAATTGCTTTGTCTCCCATACTATGAATGGACTGATGAGACGGAAGATGATAGACAGATCAGGGAAAGGGAGAATTTCTGCATGATCACCAACATGAATGTAATGCAGATGGGTTTTATTTAACCTCTGAGTTTGGGGGCTATATTTATCATATACCCGTAGAAAGGCTTTCAGTCTCAATCTCACCAAAGTACTTGTTATTTTGGTCTTCAAATAAAGTAGTCTAGCAAACTTTGAAATTAAAATGGGAATATTTTGGTTATCCCTAATGATCCAGTATCTAATTTCAGACGAATTCAAGAGTTAAATTAGTTAATTAAGCCCAGTTATTTCAAGATTGTGTGAAGGTTTAATTCTGTCTAACTCAGATGACAAGGGACTCATTTATCATCCACTTAAATTGTAAAAAAAAAAAAAAAGAAAGAAAGAAAAAGCAGGAACATCTAACTTGATCCTTTGTGTCTTTTTTAAAATAAGAGAAGTGTGTATCCTCAGAATAATTAAAAGTAGCAAAGATTTTTTTAGCAAAGTTTTAAGGAAACAAATCCTGTCAGACAGTCATTCTGAAAGTCCAGAGTTGCAACTTCATACAGTTCCTAGTCACTATGGGTAAATCCAGAAAAAGACTGTTACTTCAAAAGAGGACAGGACAGCCTAACTCTTAGACATTGTCAATCAAAGGAGTAGTTTGTAGTCCCATGGAAAGAAATCTGTCTTCTACCCTTCCGTGGTTATTATTCTGTCCCCAGCTTTGTGGCCTTCTGTGTTCAGCTATCCACATAATTAAGACAGTTGTACTCCTAAGTCTGTAACCTTCTGAACCATAGCTACTGAGATTCACAAAAACCAATCTTCTACAGTCAAGATTTAAAGCTTACTCATAAGTGAATTCCATGCACAATTAATTGGCAATACAATGAATTTGAAGCCAGGATGGAAATCAGCACCTTTGATAGTTTTCAAAATTAATACTTTGCTGTACTGATTCTGGAGAAACTTCAGGTCTCCAGCCTCAGGAATTGCTCCCAAATTCATTTAGCAACTTACATCAACAGAAAATGTCATGATTTATTCCTGGTGGGCTATTGTCATATTAATATGTAAATTTGCATTATTCGTGGCCGTATATTGACTTGTTGAAGCTCTCTGGATCCAACATGTCAGCAAGTTAGGAGTCCTGGTTTTAAATTATACAAACATGATGAGGGTGTAGACCAAAGTCTGCTCTGGCAGACTTAACCAGTCTTAACAATGAAATCCAAATGGTGGGCACTGGCTCAGTCACTGCTCTGTGGGAGATGACAGAGCACTGGAGATGATCGGCCTGCATGCTAATGAAATCACCTAGAGAGATGACTGGTCTGCATGTGAAAACAATCACCCTGCTATGCATTTGCCCTTTGAGTCAAGTCTTCAGGACCCACTTGAGAAGTGAAGCATGGCCCTACATGCGTGTAGTACAGTGTGGGATTCTGTGAGGGCATCAGCCGTGGCAGATGAGCTCCACGCTCATCCGTGTGCCACAAAGAAACTGCTTAGTAGATGCTGATGAGGAAAAGAAATACCGCCTCCTCCCACCAAAGTGTCATTGGACCACATCTCCAGAAGGGGTGGAAGTGTTTATGTGGTTGGGTATACATGTTCATTTCCAAGGAGATGTTGCTGCGTAGAAGACACAAAAGTTCTAGTGATTAGGTAGCAGGTACGATAATTCAAAGGTAGAACCACTCAAACAGAACTAGATTCTAGGTCTAGGCTGCGGCGGCCTAACTGCTACCCCATACCTAGGCCTGTTTCCCTATATGCAAAATGAGTGGATGTCATAGAATGTTCAGCCCCAACCCTTCCTTTGGTCACACATTCTTCTCACTTAAAGGCGCCCAGGAAAGGAAGGATCCATAATGATCTGTTCATTTCAAGTGTGATTCCCATGCTGTGATCGGTGGTACAGGGGGAGGCCCAAGGAAAGGAAGAGCGGGGCTCCAGAGGGTAGATATCTAAAGGTGTGAAAAGCGATTCTCAAAGTAGCCATGTGCCTATATCTTCTCATTTTTTCCCCAGCCATTCCTTGCAGACTTAAACGAACATAATGCAGATCTATTGTGGACTTAGGAATTACACTTCCCAGTTGCTATAGCACATCCTTAAACTTTGCTGTCCATCTCTGAGCTTTCGTTGCTACAGGCCACACTTGTAGAGTTTGCTGCTCAGTTCCCTCTTCCTTGCTGAGAAAGTCCATTGCGTGTGACCCTAGGTTCCTGCTGACTTCTCCCTTTGAAGGTCCTCTTTCTCACCTGTTCCTTCCATGCAGGCCTGGTCCCATTTGCTTCTCTGTGATGCCTGCTTCCTTTACCTCATTCACAGAAGCATCCTTCACACCCACAGGCTCCTCTATGCTCACCCACAGTACCCTTCTCTTTGCCTGATTAACTTTTAAAGTGGTGCTTTCAGGGCTAGGGCCGGGGGATCGATCAGTCAATAAAGTACTTGCCACATAGGCACGGGTACCTGAGTTTACTCTCTGCTTGAAGATACTGGATGTGCTGGTACACACTTGTAACTCCAGCACTGGGGAACACAGAGAATTACATATCCCTGGGGCTTATCAGTCAGCCTACCTAGCATAACTGATGAACTTCAAGCCAGGTAGGCAGTGTTCCTAGGGATGACACTCAGATTGATCTCTAGCTTCCATATACATAATCATTAAAAATTAGATTAATAAAAAAGTGCTTCATGTGCTGATAGGTTTTGTCAAATTGCCACAAACTTTGACATACCTAGGATGAAGGAGAAACTGCCTCCAGCAGATTTACCTGTCTTCATGTCTGTAGGGCATTTTCTTTATTTCTGATTGATATGGGAGGTCCTACCCTCTATGGGCAGAGCCATTCCTGGGCAGGCAAGCCTGAGACTTCTAGGAAAGGTAGCTAAGCTAATTGTAAGGAACAAGATTGTAAGCTGTGTAGCTCATCGTCTCTGCTTTAGTTCCTACCTCAACTTCCCTCAAAAAAAAAATTAGATGAAGTAAAACCTAACCTCCCCATGTTGCTTTTGATCACCATGTTTACCACAACTGAAAGTAAACCAGGTCACTTCTCTAAGGTTCTGGCCCATGTGCTAGACCTTCGATGCGAGTGCTACATCCAAATGGAGTGGAGGCGTGGCCTTAGTATTTCATTGTCTCCTCCTATGAGATGGGACTCTTCATGAGGTCATTACTGTTATACCCAAATATGCGGGGTCCCCACAAAAGCCAACAAAGGAGACTGAGTCCCATATGTAAAAGCAAAGAGCCTTTATTTTAATCAAGTTTGCAAACTCGGTCTCTCTGTGTGTCCAACATATTGGAATATCTGGAGAGCCCTGAGCTCAATTAGAATTGGAGGTAAGGGGTCCCTGAGGTTCAGGACCCCTGATTGGCTGACATTTGTCTAAGAGTGTCCTGGTGAGGTGTGCTGGCAGGTGATCCTATCTTCATTAGTTGGAATGCCACGCATTTCCTTTGAATGGTCTGCCCTTGGGTGGGGGCTGGGTTATCAGCTTGTGGTTCTTTCCTGCTACCAGGTAACCTACTGTGACTTGGGCCTCTTATTTAAATTAATCAATGGTCAGAGTCCCAGGTGATAATGGTTGGAACTAAAGAACTTCCTGTGGCTGACCTGTCCAGACTTAGATTATCATGGCTGGTCCCCACAATTACAGGAGTTTATTCTTGAATGTTTCGAGGCATGGTGGAATGCAGGGCCTTCTGGGATATTAGGCACATGACTTGCCTCTGAAAATAAGGAGGGCTGAAAAGGGAGGGAGGGCAATGTCATCGTTCTCACTTTCCTTAGTGACCCTCTTTGTCAACCTAAACTTAGGGGGACTTGAGGGATGAAGCTGCAAAACCAAAATCCAAAAAGCTGGGTTCAGTTCTTCCCAGCCCCCACCCCCTCCTGTTTTTAATATGTTCTCTCACTGGCCTGAAATTCTGGAATTCCTCCAGTCTCTACCTTCAAGGTTCTGGAATTACAGGTGTGCACCACCATGCCAGGCTTTTTAATGTGAATTCTCAAGATGGAATTGAGGTTTTCATACTTGTATGGCAGGCAATTTACTTACTGAGCCATCTCCCCAGCCCCCAGTGATATATAACTTAGCTTTTCTGAGTCCCTGTGCCCTCGTTACTGACAACTTGGATGTTTAGCCTCGATTCACTTCCAATCGGACATTCTAAAACTCTTTATGTTGCTTCGAATCGTTTTTTTCTTAACTGTTTACCTCATCTTCCCATGGTCCTATTTTTTTGTTAACCACATTTTGTTGTTTTCTAGTGCTGCATTCTGACTAGTGGCCAAGCACAGGACCTTCCAAACTTCAACAAAGGTACAGTAAGGTAAGTGTCTTTTCTAGTTAATTCTTTGCTTGAAAGGGGAATTGATGGCTTGGTCTTTAAGCTGATCAGTGAGAAAAATAAATAATGAGATGGTTTGGGGGGGCAACTTAAATTTTTTGCTGTGGGCATCACTTCTTCCCCATCAAAATGACAGGTTTCACCATGGCGTCTTTGAACATACACGCCATTACAATTTGTCCCCATTGATTCCCAGACTGTGTGCGTCTCAATATGACTATGCACACATTCTCAATTGCTCAGTTGTGCCTTAGCAGAAATAACACTGTGTCATTTCCTCATCTGATTCAAATTTAAAGGCATGCTAACAGAAATTTTAAATGAGCTGACTTTATTTTAAATATGTGTGTAGAGAGAAAGAGAGATGATAAATAGATGGAGATAGATGATAGATAGATAGATAGATAGATAGATAGATAGATAGATAGATAGATAGATAGAGATAGATAATTTACCTCAACATCAGAATGCAGAATATTTGAATTACCAGAATGTGTCTTAGTTTGTGCAAACAGATCACTGTATGTATAGATTCTTGAATAACTTCTGGGGCAGTAGCCTGCTTCTGCAAATCTCCTAAGTGTAAGAACTGTCCTTTGATTTATATTGTCATTGTTCAAGTGGTCCAAATCCAGATTGTGAGCATAAAGAAAGAGCAAGATTATGAGACAGCACGATTTTCTTTCCGCAATACTGCTGACAATAATTTTTTTTTCTATCCAGCGAACACTGTTACTATCCTATCCCAAATGCATGCTTCCTTCCTGGCAGAATCTTGATGCTGTGAAGGACAGCAAAGCATTTCAACTAAATGTTCACATCATAATGGGCATGGTGACTCACATCTATAACTCTGGTACTCAAGAAACTGAGGCGGGATGATTACCACGAACTTGATGTCAGTCTAGGCTACACAATGAGTTTCAGGTCAGCCAGGCTGCCTCAGGAAATCTTGTCTCAGAGGGGGAAAACAGCATCTCATCCCATCTCTTCACCATTCTTTACTTTAGCTGTTTGATCCAGTTCTAGCCAGTGGGCTCTGGGTTAGAGCCCTAAAGACAGCTTCCTTAGGAAGAATTGATTTTGAAAGGTTTTCCTCTTTTTCTGTTTCAGGATCCTAATAGAGAAACATAGCCTCCTATTTCAGTCTCAAAGATAGATGCAACACAGTCATAGGGGTCAGGAGCAGAAAGAGAAAACGAGTGTAAGCCCTGAAGAGGCTGTGGTTACACACACACAGACACACATGTGCACATATGCTCACGAGCACACATAGACACACACGCGTACACTCATGCACTGACTTGGCAGAGCTTATGGGGTTATCTGACACTCAGGTTCAAGCAAGGTCCAAGCTGATTCAGAGCCTTCACACTGGGTCTTTATGTTCAACATCTGTCCACACTTGACTTAATCTTCAGACCAGTATGATGGGTTGCATACTTCTTTTATCTGCATTTTGCAGCTGATGAAACAGCTCTAAGATGTTAATAACTTTGTCCAGTCAGTCAGTGGCATTAGTGACATTTACACTTGGACTATTGGTTGTTCTTCCCCATGTTGTACCTGGGCCAGTCCTGATATGGCTGTGTGGTGCAAGGAGCCTGGGCTGTTGCTGGTTACATTTTTACAGCTATTAAGTGGGCCTGCTGAACTAAGAAATGTTTTGTGAAGTCATGAGGCTTCCGTTATATTATTCCACTAGTGTGTTATCAAATTAAGTGAACCAAGTGAATCTATTCCTTTCTGGGAAAAAATAAAATATATGCAGAAAAACGTCAGGTCTTGGAGCAGGGAGATGCATTGGAGTTGCCTATGAATCCTGGGGAATGCAATAAATGCAATACTAATTTCCAGCATCTTCTATTGTATTTTGTCCTTTTGAGACAAATGTTTAGAAGATGTGGCCTATGTATGGCCACCAAAATCCATATTTTATCCTATGATCTCAACCTCAAATATGCTTCTTCATGCAGCCATTATTTTTAATCATGTTTATTTGGTTCCAGGAAAGAAATAATGCAGGTAAAAATTAAGTTATGTAATGAAATTTCTTTCCAAGAAAAAATCATGGCAGGCGCTGAAGAAGACACTGAGTTGTATCTGGGAAGGAAGGGTTGAATAATGGGAAAATCCCTGGGCTGGTAACGGAGAGGACAGGTTGGCATGTGATGGTCCAGCTTGTATAGTTTTGAAAAATTATTTCACCTTCCCTTTCTCTTTGTTTGTAAGTGGAGAAGAGTGTAAAGATGTTCTTTCAGGCTCATCACAAAATTGTTTTTCATCTCTTTGGGTTTTCTCTGATATTTAGGAAAGACCAAGGGTCTCTTTCTGGCTTGGAATCCTTGGATTATCAGCTCCTCCCTTTCCTTTGCTTTCCTCCAAATACATCCTGGGTCTCTGGTATATTTTGCCATATTCCTCAGTAGACTGCCTCTCAGACAAGGGCATTAGCATCCACTTGACTTCTATCCTGGCCACACAGAAACATATCTGGTACTCATCAAACTCCACTCTGGGAAGGCTAGTAAGATCTGCTGGAACCTACCTGCTCTTTCCCGTGCATTTGCAATGAGTCCTAATGTACTGCCGTGACTTAGCACGTCTGTTGGGATCTGGCTCACTCATGCTTATTCCCTTTTGCTTCCTCATCTCTGACTTCACTCTTTCCTTTGCTTTGCTTTAATGTGTCTCATTGGTGTCCTTTTAATGTGTCCCTTGGGGCCTCTAGCACTTGACACCATTTGGCACTTCCATCCATTCACTTTTCCCTTGTCTGTCTGTCTGTCTGTCTGCCTTCTCCTCTCCTCTCCACCCCTCTCACCTCCCCTCCACTCCCCTCCTCTTCTCTCCCCTCCTCTCCCTTGCTCCCTTTCTCTCTCCCTCTCTCTCTCTCTCTCTCTCTCTCTCCCCCCCTCCTCTGTCCTGAGAACCATTTTCCATACTTTTTAAAACTGAAAATGTCTAATTTTTAAAGGCATAATAGAATATCCCCTCGTTAGCAAATACTGATATAGCTTAAGGGCAAGATAGACGTAATTGGGTCACAGTTGTTTATAATTCGTTGTCTCTCCTTCTCTTTGGCAATACCCTCCACAAGGACAGGGCCTCATCTGTTATCCTCGTTCCCTAAAGCACACCTTTCCTTGCAGGAGACTTATAAATATTTATTAAAGGTGTGGCTGTAGAATCAGAAAATAGTGTAGGCTTAGTCACCTTTAGAGAAATTAATCATTGCTCCAATACGTCTGCTGCTTCAATGGGTAAGAATGGAAAAATATCCTAGGGGAAAATGATGAGAGAAGGGACATAGGGCTAGACAGTGGTGTAAACAGAAAATAACCTAAGTCATTCGGAAAGACCACTTGAGAAATCTCAATTCAGTGGTCTCTTTGATCTACAATGAGGATGGAAGGTCATCTCTATGTGCGTCTACAGAGATTTTTTTCTTTTTCTTTTTCTTTTGGCTAAGCTGAGCACATTCACAATTAGAAAGTTGGTTGGATGAAGACTCAGAAAGTAAAACATTGAGTTCTTGAACTGCTAATGACAACCCTTTATCTTTGTATGGACGTGATAATAATCTGTTGACACCGGAATTCAGTCTATGTGAGGAGCAGACATCATAGATATCATGAGTTGAAGCAATGTACTGAAAGGCAGGCAGCTCCCCTGTGTTGGGTGTTTCCCAGAGAGCACAGCAAAGTCATTTGCTCTTTATCCTGATTGTCACAGTGACTGTGTAGAGAAGCACACAATGTTAATACATTAAAAATGCTGATGGGAACATGGAAACCAGAAGAATGTCTTATCTGCCAATTAAGTAATATAGCCTCCTGCCTAGATGATAGCAATTCAGGGGCTTTCTGTTTGCTGCCAATTGAGATTTGACAGCTGTTGATAAAATATTTACATTCTGATTTCAGTCACATTGACAGTACTTTTGGGTCTCTGGTAGATGATAATTATATGGTAGGAAAACATTTAAAAATTGAGACTGATCCTATTGAACAGAATGATCTTCTTTTAAAACTGAACAAAAATGGCTATCCATCTTCTTCTAAAGGACATGAAATGATAGAAGTCAGACACAGAAGGTGGAGGGTGAGATGGTTCAGTCAGTAACGTCAGACCCAGGACATGGGGGAAACGGCTCCGTCGGTAGAGTGCTTGGCACCCGAGGAAGGGGAGCAGAGCTCAGAGCCCTAGAAGCGCTGTCAGAAGCCATGCATAGATAGATAGTGCACATGCATTTCATTTCAGTGCCGTGGGAGAGTGACGGAAAAAAAGAAGCTCTCTAAGCTTGCTGGGCAGCCAAAGCAGTGAGCCACTCTGTCTCGGGAAACAAGGTGAAGCGCTATTGAGGAAAACATCCACCATCAACCTCTGACCTTCAAACACATGTGCTCATATATATATATGCACATGCACACAAACATGACAGAAAGATGTTCACCATGAAGGAAATGGTCTACATGTTACAGTCATGTAACAAAAGGGAATAATAACATTTCCAACCCAGCTGCCTTGTGTACCTAGGTATTCTTATTAATTGTGGACCATGTGTTTCTCTTCCTTTCTCTCAGTCCTATGCAAAGAAAACAAAACTTGCTGTTCTCACAGAGGATTTGAGTTCAGTTCTTAGCACCCATATGGTGGCTCACAAACATTTATCACTCCAGTTTCAGGGGATCCAGTACCTTCTTTTGACCTCCACAGTCAGTCATGCATGCAAGCAAACAATCATACACATAAATAAAACAAATATTTAAAAAATAACAAAATAAATCCTTAAAAAATTACAGCAACATAGTCATAACAAGCAAGAGAAATGGGGTGATTACTTTCATGAAAATTCAGGTTTGGAGTTTTTAGGTGGTGGTTTTTAACTAAAAGGAGTTTCACAACACAGAGAAATACATTTACAGTCCAAGAGAAGCAAGAGGGTTCTTGTGCTCATGATGAAAAAGTTGCGAAAATGG